TCTCTCTCTCTCTCTCTCTCTCTCTCTCTCTCTCTCTCTCTCTCTCTCTCCTTGAGAATCTTGACTCTGAATACATCCGCTGCTACTCAGCTCTACCTCCTATCACTAGCTATGCGGCTATGGCCACCKTCCCTCTCAGTGCAGCGCTGCCCAGCAGGGCTCTCACGCGCATGCTACTTGCAGACAGCGCACAAACGCTTCAGCAGCACTTCCACACTTCTCACGAATGAGCAATCTGCTTCAAATGTGGCTGGCCAGTCCTGATATTGACTTGGACTGAGCTTCAGCTCGTCCCAGCCTCTGCTTCTTCTGGTTTGACTTGGTACTGGTATGACTTGCCCACGGCCTGCTTGCTTCAGAATGTCAAGGCCTGGTACTTTTCCCAAGTTTTCATTGGCGTGCTGCTGCTTGGGCCTGTGAGTCACGACTTTTCACCTGTGGAACATCACTTTTGACTGTGGGATGTGACTCTTGCCTCTGGGACACGACTTTTGCCTGGGGAAGTGTCCCTTGCCTGTGAGATATGACTTTTCCATATGAGACGTGACTTTTGCTTATAGAACGCAACCTTTGCTCTGGGATGTAACTGGTCACCGGGTGCCTGTTGGACTTGACTCCTAAGGTACCCGACTGTGACTTCTCGGAAACTGACCGACTTGGCCTCCCTTGGCCTGAGACCTTGACCCTGAAATTCAAATTTGGGGTCTGCATCGTGGAATGCCATTCAGATTCGCTCCACCTTAGATATTGTCCATGCATGTATTCCTTCACGGCTCCCTCCCATTTCTTTCACATTTCTTTCACAATTTGTTCACATTCCCTTTCACATTTCCTTCCTAGGTTACCAGAGTGGCCCGGGACCACTTGCCCGACCAGGCCGAAAAGAAAAAAAAAAGAAAAAAAAAACAGGCAAAGAATTTCAGTGTGACCCTGAGGCCAAAGTTGTCCAGTTTATTTTTCTGCACAACATACTAACATAGTTTTTTTTTTTTTTTTTTTTTTTTTTTTTTTTTCCCTTTTTCTTTAGGGACTGTCACTGGCCTTTGCGCAGCCGTCCAGTTTATTGCACAGCATAGTTTTTTTTCATTTTTTTTTTCCCCTTTTTCTTTAGGGACCGTCGCTGGCCCTTGCGCGGCCGAGCCTCCCAACCAAGGTGACCCACGCTGCCCAGTTGGTAATGCAGATTCCTTCAAATTTCCTTCACAAAAGCAAGCTTTAAGGGGGGTTAAGGGTTTTCAGGGGTTCCAAGGGCTTTAAACTTTAAAGGGGCTTAGATGGGTGTGCACGGGTGTGCTTTAGTTAGAGTTTTCTTTTTATTACTTTTCGACTAGGCTGGTCCCCAGGCGGCCCGGCTGGCGGAAGGTCACCCGGTACTCTCCCGGGCGGCCCGGGCCGGGCAGGGTCCGGGCAGGGTCCTGGGCAGAATAAAACATTCAAAAAAGTCAAAAAAATCTGGGAAAAAAATTATGTTGTGTAAAATTGCAGTACAATCAACTTTTGGCTGAGCATCCCCGCGAAATCCCTTATTAATTTTACCATAAAAATAAATGAGGAGAAGTGCGGTAAGATATACCCTTTTAAACTCCTCTAGTAACTGTTTAGAGTAACTTTATACCCCCCAAACGCCCCTGGGTGACCCACCACCGAAATGGAAGGTAAGGCTGGATTCTGACTGCTCAGGCCGAGCGCAGTCCTGGCCTGAAGTCAGTGTTTTTTGGGGGGGGGGGTTACCTGCCTGGTTTTGCGGGGCGATCCCCCCCGGCCCGTCTGAATTCCTGGCCTGTGTCGGGATTTGAACTGATGACCTGTTTATCAACCGCAGGAAGACCCGTGGTGTGCATATGAAAAGGTACCGCGGTCTGCCCCTGCGAATGGCGTTTACCAGTCGCTCGTGACCTGTTTATCAACAGCAGGAAGACCCCGTCGTGCACGTACGAAGAGGTACCGCGGTCTGCCCCTGCAACTGGTGTTTACCAGTCAGGATTCAGACGCAGGACCTGTTTATCGACAGCAGGAAGACCCCGTGGTGTGCTTACGAAGAGTTACCTCGCTCTGCCCCTGCGACTGGCAGTTACCAGACAGTATTTGAACTCATGACCTGTTTATCAACAGCAGGAAGACCCAGTCGTGCGCATACGCCGCGGTCTGCCCCTGCGACTGGTGTTTACCAGTCAGGATTCAGACGCAGAACCTGTTTATCGACAGCAGGAAGACCCCATGCTGTGCTTACAAAGAGGTACCTTGCTCTGCCCCTGCGACTGGCATGGTGACCTTGGGAGTCCTTGAAAATGGTTGTGAAAGGTGCTGATGGTTTAAATCGGATCAATATTAAATATGCTGCAATAAATATCTAATTAGAACATCAAGTATACAATGAATAGAATAAACTAATTATCTATAATATAGTAATTTATTTATTCTATCTATATTTGATTATTCTTATATTGTATTATGTTAACATATTAATTTATTATATTTCTTCTCAGACTCATAAAAAAATTCAGTGAATTTTTTATGAGTCTGAGAAGAAATTTTAAGTTCCCAAAATGCCCGAATGGAAAGATGTCCGAGTGGTCGATGGTGTAGTATTGGAAATGCTATGTAAACTTTAGTTTACCGAGGGTTCAAGTCCCTCTCTTTCCGTATTTTCTATTGGTCTTAAAAAAAATGTAAACAAATGATATTGATTTCGAATGAGCATCTATCTATTCATATTCATATGAGTAGATACATGTATTAAAAACAGTTGTTATACTAACTTGGCCTTTAAACCATCAGTACCTCCACGCTTTTAGGCCGTTAACGCGGTGGCTAAATCGGTGTGCCGCGCAGGCCCATATGCATTTGCATCAGAGCCTGCCCAGAGGGGGCCTAAGACCCCCTGGGGTACTGGTGGTTTAAGGTATTGTAATTGAAACAACAAGTTCAACCGGCAGTGCACAGACAGGAAGCAAGGGAGATATTTTTCACATTGGTTGAAACGGACCTCAGGGCACAGTGGAAAGCAGTAAGGAAGCAAATATGCCTCCAACCGGGGCAGGAGGAGGAGATAACGAAAAGCTTTAATCACAACATTCTGGGGCAAGGAGCAGTAGCAATTATAAAGGGTAGTAATTCATGGTTCAAATGGAGGGGATAGGTTTCAAGAGGTTTAGACTCTAGAGTGTTGGTAGCGAATCTAAGGTTTAGGGGTTTAACCACATGGGATAGAATTCAGGATTCTAGGCTTCAAGGTTTTAATCACATGAGAAAAAAAAAAAAAAAAAAAAAAAAAAAAAAAAAAAAAGAGAAAAAAAGAAGGGGGGGGGGGGGGGGGGGGGGGGAAGAGGGCAAATGCACACGTTGGAGGCCAAGAAAGTTCTACTCAATCTGTTGAAGATGGATATCACGCCACAATGGCAAAGAGCAAGAAGGTAAGCTTAACAAAAACTGGAGAAAACCCAGGAGACATTCAAAACGTCTCAATGGGTTACGTTGGTTAAGGGTAAGATAGCAACAATCGAAGGATCCAGAGTAGTCTTTCACTGGTTTGTCATTACGGAGCAAAGTGAGCAAGAATAGTGCGTCAGATTATATGAGGTAATACATCAAAATCATGCCAGCATTACAGCTGAGGGTTTAGGGTTCAGGGTTTAAGGTTTAGGTAGGAGCAATGCTAATAGGGCTTGAGGAGTCACAGATTTCAGGTGAGGTCCCGGGCGACTCTAGTTAGAACACAATTATCTGACAGTTATAATACTGAGAGGAGTCCAACTGGGATCACAGGGATGATTGAAGGAATAAAAACACAGACTTACGTAATCAGGGGTGAGGGATGGCACATCCTTCCTTATGGAAGTAATCAATGCTGTCCACTCGGGCCTCCCAACCATAATGGGGAGGAGCGTGAGTGAGTTTCTGATGTATCTATTATTGACTTGCCGGGGGAAAGGAACCGGACTGTCGCTCCCCAGAATGGTAGGAGTCAGAGCCAAAAGGTTCTGTTTTTAATAAAAAAAAAGAAGAAAAAAAAAAAAAGAAGAAAGAGGCAGTTCAGAGCAATTTTCTGCCGACATGCGCATCTCGAATAAAATCCCCCCTTGAGCGGTATAATCAGCCAGGTACAGGCTGTGGGAGCAACTCGCTCTCGGATTATGACGAAGGTTTGGAAGCCGGTTTACTACATAGGTGTGGGGCGCATAGGACCCCGAATAGACGCTTGTTACATTAGTCTTAGTTTTCTTTTTTCTGCCATGTTTGACGACTCTGCCCTCCCTCTTTCCCTCCCCCTTTTTTCCGTTTTCCCTTTTCTTCTTTTCTTCCTTTTTTTTCCAGATGGCTTTTTTTGACCGCAGGATTGCTGCATTAAACGTATGAATAGGAGCGGTAGCTTCCATCATAAGATTGCTATTCCGAGCCGGGCACCGTGGCTATTTCAGAACAGAACGTAGGGGTTCTAATCATCGGACCACCATGCGGTAATTGTTTCCGACAGCGGGTGGAGGAGGAACAACAGGAGGTGGAGGAAGTGGTAACAGGCACACCCTGGCCAAGCATCATGCAGACCGCCTCCACCTGGCCCGCCGAACCTGCTGTGCCTCACCCATGCCCCTTCGGGCGAAACACTGCTTTCTTGCTCCTCCTCCTCCTCGCGCTGCTTCCGAATCTCGCCATAGCTTGTGTGCTCTTTGCTGCATGCCTCTCCGAGCAAGTTTTTCTTCGCCTTTTCGCTAAACGCTTTGCGCTGCTGATTGGAAGCGCCATCTGCTTCATAACTCTCTTCCTCGCATGCAGCTGCTGCCTTTTCTTTGAGCTCGGCACCACACAGCGACTTGCGGACTAGCTAGGAAGAGTAGCGAGGAGCAGGGACGATGGAGCATAGATCGGCGGCCGAGACTTCGTCATGCGCCTTTTTGGCATTTCTCTCCTTCATCTCTTTCCTCTCCTTTCTCTACTTCATCCACTCCCTTCCCTATCCCTTGCCACATGGACCCTCTTCCCCCCTCTCCCCCTCAACAAACCTCGCCCCTCCTCCCCAAAACCGTCCATCATCTTTGTTTCACAACACACCCCCTCGCCCCCCCCTCACCCGCCTCGCCTTCCAAAGATCATGGAAGATGTCCCTCCCTCTGACGATGCCCCACGTGGGATGGGGCAGAAAAGCGCTTTAGGGAATTGCCACGCCCTTCCCGCAATTCGGCGAGATGATCCACGCGGGTGCAGGACCGCGTTGGATCTGGAGGATAGAGCTGAAGCGGATATACTTTTTTCCCCCCTTCCCCCTCTTCCCGCTCCCCCTCCCCACCTTTTTTTCCTTCCTTTTTCCCCATGTGGAACCACATGAACGATTGGCAGCAGAGGAACGAGATGGGCGATGTATTTTGTTCTTGTTAAAAAAAAAAAAAAAAAAAAACAAGTTCAACCGGCAACACAAAATACGGTAGAGATCAGTTGATGCGAGTTCTCTTTCACCCTCTAGGATTTGAATTTTGAACTCATCATGGTGATTCATGAGTCTTTTTTCTTTTTTTTTTGTTAACGGTCAGCATCTGCTAGGGGGAGTGGTAAGAGCATCTTCCCCTGGCAGGGCTGGCTTCGGTTGCTCCAGTCCAAAAAGCTAAGTGTATCCACCATTCAAGAACTGACCTCGCCTGGTCTGTCCGAAAACCCTCCCCCATCGTGAGAGAATGGATTCTTCCATGACAGACACTGTCAGGCCTAAATATGCCCCCCGAGAGGCTTTGTAGGTTTATGGATTTAGCCAATAGCCAGGTAGAGGTGGAGAAAGCTGGCTGGGCATGAGGGGGGGGATATAGGGAGAGGGTGGGTGGGGCCACTTGCTGGAACACATTCACTGCAGCGCACAATCTGTCTGCTGTTGTGCCGGACGAGTCTGCTGGTTGGAGGGTGGGGCAGCTAAGGCCCTTTGTGGAAGCGGAGGTAGGAGCTTCATGGCTATGGTAGGCATCCTAGGCTGAAGGAAGCTATGGTGGCTATGGTGTTCGCCTTCTTTGTCCATGAAGACTCGCTACAGGGTGACCTCAACTCAAGTCTGCACCTAGCGTTTAGGGTCCAGACTTGCATTTAGGGTCCAGACTTGCGTTTAGGGTCCACACTTCCGTTTAGGGTCCAGGCCTAGCTCAGGGAGGGCAAGTCTGGACCATCAACTCTTTTTTTTTTTTTTTAAAGAGTGAAAGAAGAATGTCTGAAAAAATGAGGAAAAAAATGAGGACTGAGACTGTGGGGCCTGCCAACATTGATTGCCCTTCAACCCAGGGGATTGACTGAGCAGGCCTGTGTGAAGGAACCCTTTTTTCCATGGGGTAGTGTGTTGGAAACCAGGTCCAAAAGCCCAGATTATTCTACATGCCCAAACCTCAACCCTAACTGGAGGGCCGACTCGGCCCTGTCTGTCCTGCTATCCAAGCCTCACTACCTCGCTATCCTTTTAAGAAAAACTCAAGTATGGACCTAGTGCAGTGGGCAAACAGAAGCTTTGCACTTCAAGGTGGGGGGATGCAATTCACTGGCAGCTATGGCGGACTCCCATCTCTCGTCATCCTTGTACGGAGTCTGCCATACCTGGGAGGAGATAGAAACTTATGGGGGACAAGATGTCCATCCAGGTGTCTGGCACTGCCCTCCAGGGCTCCTTAAAGAATGCGACTGGATGATAGGGAGAGGAAAACAGGTATATAGTAGAGGAACCGGGGCAAGGGAGGGTCGTGAGGGACGTTGGTTATGAAACAGGCTCTTTGGGATGGGTTACAGGGGAAGAACCGGGTGTAGTTGTGTGCACTGGAAGTAAGAAGTATGCAGGAGGTACCTTGGAGGGGTTTACAGAGGAATAACCGGGTCCAGTTGCACTACCTGGAATTAGGAAGTAGGAAGAAAATACAATCGAGGCCTAAGGGGAGGTAAGCGGACGGGTATCAGCGGCCGTTTCGATGTTAGGAGCGGTGTGCCAGGGCTGGGAATCAGATCATCCGAAGAGGTCTGGTACACTGGCAGGAACTATGGGCAACGGCGTTTGGGGCCTTGAGAGTCACAAGCACTGGGTACTGGACCCGGTAACGCCAGGTGGGCATGGGCCTGTGGGTACCAGTGGTTCCGGAGTGAACAATTGAGATGCACCAGACGTCTACCCTCTATGCTAGCGGATAGGGTGGGGACGTATGCCGTAGCCATTCTTCTTCTTCTTCTTCTTCTTCTTCTTCTTCTTGCCGTAGCCATTCTTCTTCTTCTTCTTCTTCTTCTTCTTCTTTCTCTTTTTTATCCGAATGCGCTGCATGTCTTTAATTCAGATATAAGTTGCCATCATGAAATGGCGATTGAGGAGGCTTATAGCATGCATCAGAAAAGTACAAAAGAGAGAGAGAGAGAGAGAGAGAGAGAGAGAGAGAGAGAGAGAGAGAGAGAGAGAGAGAGAGAGAGAGAGAGAGAGAGAGAGAGAGAG